TATGTATATATATATATATATATATATATATATATATATATATATATGGGCTGCACAATATTGTATTCTTGACCAATATCCAATATGCCAATATATCAAAACTTATTTGGCTGGTAACCGATACCAATACCGATATTTTCCCCCTTAGACCTACTTACAGAGACCACATAGCTTTCTCTGCTGTGGAATCAAAATACTACATTATTTTTCATGGTCTTTGTCAGTTTGTCCTGCTACCAAATACAGATGCCCAAAAAGGGGCTGAAAATTATGTAACGCTTCAACTTGGATTATTTTTAATGTCAAATTGATTCATGACATTTACTCTCTCTAACACGACAACACTCGAACAGTCATACAAAAACAGCGCCTTTTATATCGATGTCCGATATTTATCTTTATCGCTAATATCGGCCGATACATGCCGATAATATTGTGCATATATATTTGAAAAGACAATAAACTAAAATAAGCTGACTTACTGTATAATAAACAGCGGCTCACTACTTAAAGTTGTTTTTTTTTTTACTTAAAGCACTTCTTGAACATTTGATTTAAGCTCAAGAGCGACTAACTCCACTACAGTAATCTGCTTTATACTGTATTTACTGAAAGTAAACCGTTACTTGAAGTCAAACACTTGTTTACATAAGGTAGACTTCTCTTTCCATAAAATACATCTTTTGTGCAGAGACTGAAAACTTTCCCACATTTTTTAAACATCTCAGATCTGCTGTATTCTGTAGTATATTTGCCACAATACCTCCAGTGTTGTCTTTGTCACTCTGTGCTGGAGTTAACTGAGATCAAACAGCAGAATCTCACGTTCTCACAAACAGAAGTGTCTTACCAACACTGAAGGTGTACTTGCTTCCATTTTACGCCAGTACTACCTAAATCATTGAGCTGTAAATAATACACTACAAGTACAAGTTTTTTTTGTCTTAAAAAAAATCTATTGCATTTTTATTCTTTTAAAAATAATTTCTACATAGCTAAAAATGGGTTTTAATCTAATGAGCCATGCAAGTCATGTAAGTCAGGGTTCCATTTAAAGAAATAGCTTTAACCCTTTCCTTTTTATCAGCTTTCATAACAGTCTTTTTGTGTAACAAAGAAATTCATCATGACAGTTTTGTTTATGGACAAAAGTCAGGTTGTCGACCATGCAGATAAAAATAGCAGATAGCTTTTCAAATTGTAGTTGTCTCGGAAAAGTAGCATTTTGTTGTGCCTGTTTTTTCTTACTATAGATTGATTTGGAAAGAAAGGACCCAAAACAAACTTGTACACTATGAGAAACAGCAGTTTTAAAGAGAGATCCCACAGAAAGCTCTTACTGTAAATGTGTGAAGACTGCCAAGCCTAGTTTGTGAACATATCTCTTACGCTGCATGATGCTTTTCGGTCACTTGCTTTTCTAACGTTAGATTATTAAGAGCTTGGCTGACAAATGGCATTGAAAGTTTGATTTGCCCTTTTTTTACTTTCATTTTGATTATTGTTTTTCCCCTCATTCTTTTATTATTGACTGGAATGAAATATCCCTCAGAAAATTGTTCTCACATTAATGTGGTTGGGGATACAGACCACTCGTCTGTTCACACAGCATGCCAGACAAAAGAGCATCTATGGTTGGCTCATTTATTTAATAACGAGACTTTATAAACATTTGCAAGTAAAAATTTAAAACTAATTTAATGGTTTACTTTTCTTTAGTACCTCACCACAGCACTCTTTTCTTTGCTAAATTTTAAAATATTTTTTTTTGGGATCTTCTCCTGTATATTAAGCGTACAAAATAATTAAAGTAAAAATATATATATGTTTTTTTTTGTCCAAACTGATCATGCCATCTACTGACACTTTTACTAACACAGTCTGACCATTTAAACTTAAATTATAAGCCCATGTTTTGACAAGATTATTGCATGTACCGCCGGTAAAGCCCAAAAAGGCTGAACAGAAAAAGGGGTGCGGGTCGTCTTGCATCTATGTTTGAGTTCCTGTGGAACGGTGTGAAGGCTGCCTGAGGATGTCTGTTCAGAAGGTAAATTATTTTGTCTTTAGTGAAACTGTGGAAAACACAGACTGCAGGGTCGCAGTACGGGGAGTCCGTACTTTCCGATTGAAGCCTTAAACAAGACAGTTCAAGAAGGTGCCCACTCTGGCACTAGCATTGAATTGCTCCTGTTCAGCCTTGGAGTTTAAATGACCTGCATGTGGTTTCCTGCCCCTCCTCCCTGCCTGTGCCTCTGCCCTGTCTCATGGCCCCTTGTTGTGCTGCTGTGCTCTCTTTTTTATGGGTTTCTTCTCACTACTTTGCAGCCTTCCCCCTCTTTTCATTCGTTATATGGCAAAAAAAGCGAGGTTCTGACCTAACGTGGTTTTTGTAAATTCGTTATCATCTAAAAAGAGTGGAAAGGCTCCTAAATATTTCCTTTGTTTCTTGAAATGTTTTGTACATATTCTGTTATTTTTGTAAAAAAAAAAAAAAAAGAAAAGACTGTTTTTACCAGCTTAAATTTGAATTTGTAGACATTTTTTATTTTGTAGGAATGTTTAGTTACAGTTAAAGTTTTAGGTAATACAGCTGTAGATTATTCATATTCTTATGAACAAAAATGCAGTTCAGTCTTTCCTGGATAGAAAAATAATCTAATGTTTTGGCAGGAGCAGTTTTTGTTTCACCTGTACGATTTGTGTGTGCGTGTGTGTGTGCGTGTGTGTGTTTGTATGTATGCGTGTGTCCGCCCCTCAGGCCTAAAGACCATTGTGGGTGCCCTGATCCAGTCTGTGAAGAAGCTCTCGGACGTGATGATCCTGACCGTCTTCTGCTTGAGTGTCTTTGCCCTGATTGGTCTCCAGCTCTTCATGGGCAATCTGCGCCAGAAGTGTGTGATCTGGCCAATCAACCTTAACGAGACTTTCCTGAACAACGGCAGCAAGGGCTTTGACTGGGAGGAGTACATCAACAACGACAGTAAGTAGAGGCAAGGATTCACTGTGGGTGACCTGGCAGGGACACAGGAGTATGAGTCAGCCCATATGCTCGAAAGGCAAAAAATAAATAAATAAAAGAAGTCATTTGGGTAAAGCAGAACAGATATAAAACAAAAACAACAACACTGGGATGAATATGTGTTAACAAACTCAAGTCAAAGATTTCCAGATAGTTTTAAAATAAACAAGCTTGTGACAGAAAGTGAGTAAAATTGCTCATTATGGCTCTTTTTTTAAATCCTGCAGCCAATTTCTACTTCCTGCCTGGCCAGTTGGACGCTCTGCTTTGTGGGAACAGTTCCGACTCTGGGTAGGCTGTCTTCTCTGCTCGCCTCTAAATGCTTTTGTTGATCCTATGAGGGCCTGCGTGTGGTCAGTTTGCATCGTAGGGTCATTTCATTGCATCAAGTCATTTCTTAGTCTGGATGCCTTCTCTTTTTGTGTCTCTCTCTCCACCTCTCAGCCGCTGCCCGGAGGGCTATACATGCATGAAAGCTGGGAGGAATCCAAACTACGGCTACACCAGCTTTGACAGCTTCGGCTGGGCCTTCCTGGCTCTCTTCCGACTTATGACGCAGGACTTCTGGGAAAATCTTTACATGCTGGTAAGGCAGATGTGTTAACAGGTCCAGCTTGTTTCACTTTACAATTCACAGTTGTTTTTAAGTGTTTCTGGAAAAAAAAAAAAAAAAAAAACATGAAAGTACTGCAACTGTACATTACAGGTGCATCTAAAACAAATGCAGTATGCTTATATGAGTTGTACTTTCTGAAATGATTGACAAAAAAAAATTACACTTTTTCCATGATATTCAGGTTTTTTTTAGATGCACTTGTAATTACCTGATTTGTTAATGTGAGGATTTGCACTTTTCATTCATTTATTGTCCACTGTCGCAGAGCAAAGAAAGGGAATTGGAAATACCTTCAGTTTGTCAGTATGTGTTGTGAAGATGATAACTTGAAAAATAAGTTTAGTCCTGACTTCCATTTTGGTTTGTGGCTGCAGGTAGGCGTAAGCAAAATTACTATTGAAAATTGGGTTGCCACATCAAAATCCAAGATATCCACCACCAAATACTGTATTTTCAACTGGCCAATGCTATCACTTGAGGAATCTATGCTTTCTGGTTTTTATATTGCTTAAAAGTATAGTTTTCTCGAGTGATTTGGGGGAGTGGGGCAGATTTGGCCACCCCCTGGCTCTGCCATTGTGCCTGGTATTGGATAAAATGGCTCCCTCCACTCGCCAGGAGTCGTCACTCTGTGCCACCTCAGACAAGTCTCCCCACCCACCCCCAAAAAACCTACCTCTCAATTTATACTCAGTGTAACTCCTACACACTTGAACATCTTGCACTAAAAACATGAAGGTTTACTTGAAGTCCCTGTTCTGTTCCAGTCCAGAAAAAAGAAACTGCAAGCATTCACTATTTAAATACGAAGGGGGAAGAAACTTAATTAAATTCTGGGTCATTGTTGTAACCTTGTTGCTAAATTGTTGGACTAATTTTGTTTACTGAGTTTTTTTTTTCTTAGAAGAAAAATAAATACGATCCATTCATACACATTTTTTAATTTTAGTATGAAAAAACTACATTCAAGCATCAGGTTTGAAATGAAACCATAGGTGGTGAGCCATTCATTTTACACCTATACCTTCAATGGTGTCCTGCCTGAATTTATCCACCTCTTAATACCATCATCATGACGTTGGCGTCGCCACATCAACATCTGATTGGTTAAAGCAACAGTTTCCTTGCCATATGTTTTAGCCTTCACTGTTAATTCTGAAGGCCTCGAGGCAGATTTCTTTGGCCCTAGCAACAGATGACTCTCAAAATATAATTGGATAAAAGCTGAATATAAACTACTGGAAGCTGTGCAACCTGAAGAAAAGCTATGAAATGATGACAACAGACATTTCAGGATAATATCAGTACATTAAAATGTAGGTTAGTGATTCTGATTCTGTTTAGGCCAGCAGAGAATGCTTTTGTTGGGCCTGACGGTCCACCACTGGTGTGCCCAAATGACCAGAGGTCTTAGTTAAAGTATTTGCTTATTTCACCTACCCTCTTAAAAGTAACTATTTTGTACAGATTTTATGCGTTGACCATTAAGAAAATAATCTAACAAAATTTTTAAATCACTATGCCACTTTACAAATTATATTATCTATGTTTATTTAAAAAAACTGCATTCATTCAACTTTTGTTTATACAGGTTAGTCTCTGTATAACCTACTCTTTGTAGTTATTAAGATTTTTAAAATATTATTTTGAATTACTACAAAGGTCCTGTTGTTGTTTTTTTAATTCAAGGGTTTCATATTTCTGAATCATGTTTGCTAAGTCATTGTGAAGAAAAGAACATAAAAATGTCTAATTAAAAAAAGTAATATTTGACCTGCCATAACTGAAAGTGTGGTCCAGCCTCTGATAACTTGGTGATCGTTGTTTTTTTTAATGGTGCCGTCATTTCTGACTGCAACTATACGGGTCAAACGAGAGGATGGAAAGAAAGGATGACGTATTTAGAGACTCAGTGGCCAGTGACACAGAGATGTGATCTGATGAGAACACCTCCGCAAATATTTCTGATTTTGCTTCTTTCTCTGAAATTTGAGATGAAGCTGCAGACTCTCCCAGCTTTTGTGTTTAGATGTATCTTTATGCAGCTGTTCTTTGGTTTAGTGTTTAATGTTCTTCTTCAGATGTCCAGAAACGAAACGCAAAGTCATCCTAATTGCTACTCTGTTTTCTCAGTATTTTAAAAAAAGCATATATAAATGTCTGTTGCTCTTTGTAATTCGCACAGACAAGATTTAGTGATCTACTGGCCTAAAATGGACCATTTTGGCCAAATCCTGCTATATAATCTACATTTGTAACAACGCTTGAGGGAGTTTCTCCTCTGTGACCAAGGAGGTCCTTCACTTTTAGATAGAAGAACCAAAGAAGCACTGGGAAACTCTTTAATTCAAATTAAGAGCCTCACTAGACAGTGTTTGGTCTCTTAAATATCCTTTTGAGGCACTAAATTAGAAACTTTAATAACAGATTTGTCAAAAATTTATCATTTTAAATGCATCATGTGATTTTAGCAAAAACAGTGTTTCTTCATCAAACTCTATTGAGCTAGTAAGTATTGAGAAACAGTAAAAAGTCTTAATTTTTTATTGTCTAATCTCCTCACTGCCCGTATGTCCACTGGGGAAAAGCATCCTAATCCATTTGAATATTTTAACTGGCTGTGCTGAGCAGAAAAAAGTAGGTCAAACACAAACCTGGCCTTGTTTTGAGAACCTCAAGACGTACTGAGTGTACACTTTTGTTTCATGTGCAAACTGACAATAAATGGGTGGATGTTCCAAACAGCCAATTACTTATTTTTGATGAGTCATCCTTAGAGATGAGCATTGATGCTGACACTTAAGGTTTTGTGTTTGATGTTATGAGTCGGATGTTTCTTCTCTGACACTTCAGCTGTGCTTCCTCCCACCAGACCCTGAGGGCTGCAGGAAAGACCTACATGATCTTCTTCGTCCTGGTGATCTTTGTGGGCTCGTTCTACTTGGTGAATCTGATTCTGGCTGTGGTTGCCATGGCATATGAGGAGCAGAACCAGGCCACCATGGAGGAGGCTGCACAGAAGGAGGAAGAATTCAAGGCCATGCTTGAGCAGCTGAAGAAACAGCAGGAGGAGCAGGTCAGTTCTCTGCAGGACGGCGTTATTATTTTATGCTATATTTAATTAACTTGTTTAAAACTGACTTGCGACGTGTTTTCGATAGACTGCTCCCCCTGCGACCTCCGCTGGCACAGTGTCAGAGGATGCCGTGGAGGACGATGGAGGAGGGCGCCTGTCTGTCAGCTCCTCTGAGATGTCAAAGCTCAGCTCAAAAAGTGCCAAAGAGCGTCGCAACCGTAAAAAGAAGTGGCGGCAGAAGGAGCAGGAGAAGGAGAAGGGCGACAGCGAGAAGTTTGTCAAGTCAGAGTCAGACGACGGCAGCAAAAGGAGCCGCTTCCGTTTTCCTGATAACCGTCTGGGTCGAAAGTCTTCCATTATGAACCAGGTGAGGGGGGAGAGGGAGCAATACTCAGTTGTTTTCTTTTTTTGGAAATAAAACATAATTTAAATGAGTAAGTCAGACCACTCAGATATATTTGCTCTCATGTACATATCTAAGATGTAAAACATAAGATTTATTTTTGACAAACTAGAAAAACTGTTGAATGATCCTCATATACTTGGTTTACAAAAAACTATATAAAAAAAAATCAATTTTAAGTAAAACAATAAATGTAAACAGTGAACTTTTTTGTGATTTGTTTGGTAAATTTCCATGAAAAAACTAACTCTAAACATTCCAAAATAAACATGTTCATCCATGTAATAAGTATTTCTATCAAACATAAAGCAGAATAATCAGCACAGTTAGTTCACACAGTTTGCAATAATTTTTTCTCCATCAATAGAATATAAATCCTCATAAATCTGCTGGTGGCGTTAGTTTTTATGTTTAGATCTGCAAAAGGTGGACAATGCCGGATCACATTCTCGCACACAGAGGAGCATGTGGTGGCCGTAGATGTAGATGGACACAACCTGGCTCTGAATTATTCACAGCAACAACATGAATGTTTTAAAGGGAACAATTTTGCTGCTTTGCTTCAGCTTCACTTTGGCTCTACTCGTTCTATCGCGCTGAATCAGCTGTAGGAATTCACGAGGCTGTCCGTGAAATATTAAACACACTAATTTAAAACTGATTAGACTTATTTAGATCAGATTACTTTTGACTCATCATCTGCATGGGAACTTCCAGGTTTAGTTTTAGCAGGACCCACATTTTCAACTCTTCATTGTTTCAGTAGACTTTTACTTCCACCCTGTCTCTGTGTGCCGTCAGTAGTGTTGTATTTCTCTGACCTATGTATTTCCCTAAAATTCTGTCAAAGGGTTGATACAGCAGAGTATGAAGAGAAGGACTATGGTTAAAAAAAGGTCCCTATACAGTGTTGCTTAACAGAATTGTGTCATTCCTCACAGTTTTACATTTTAAATCAACCTTTATTTATACAGGTAAATCCCATTGAGCCTCGAGGACTCATTTACAAGAGAGACCTGATTTCAACAAAGAAAGATGACAACAATAGACAACAGCAATAACAATAAACAATTTAAAAATTTTAAAATTATGCTTTTTGAGCAGGATTTTTTCATTATACAGTAGTCGCTACTTCGCGCTTCAACTTTTGCGGACTCGCTCTTCCGCTGTTTTTCAAAGTAAGATTGGACATGACACAATTGGCTGATTGATGGATGAGCCACACGATCAGCATGGACTTTTTATTTAAATTAAATTATTTTAATTTATTTAGCATTTGCTGCACCTGTGTGCAACCCACATGTGCAGGGAGAAGCTTCCTCCTGCAGCATATCATGATCTCTGCTCTGCAGCGAAGAAGTGGGCGTGGCCGAGAGTGCTGGCAGATGGCAGAGAGAGACGAGATCATGACATGCTGTGTTCTTTCCAAAATAAACTACTACTTTTACTTGTACTACTATTCCTACTTTGCGGTTTTTCACTTATCGCGGGTGGACTGAGAATGACCCCCCCCCTTAATAAACGAGGGACTACTGTATTTTAAAGAGGTCTTGATCAATATTTCTGCATGTTTACCTTCAAGGTTTTTCTTGAAACTTTGCATTTTGGTGGCTTTTCTGAGAAATATTTTAATTTGTCAAGCCACATAACTTTGACCTTTGGATCATTCAGACATAAGAAGACCCCTAAACTCAAGGGATGCGCCAGTGTTGTGTCAAAAACTCCTTTTAAACTGAATATTTAGTGACATTTTTCCCAGCAGCCTGTCACTGAGACACAGAAAAACTACAGAAACTGAGAAGATTATTTACTAAGATGACTTTAAAAGATTACAAGAACGTTTGTATTATTAATAATAGATAGTAATATCACTAGAACATCTAATTTAGTTAGCGTACGTCCTGATTTAAACCAGTGCCACAAATGTTTTTTGTTTTCCTTCTTCCTCCTCTCCAGTCTCTCCTGAGCATACCCGGCTCGCCTTTCCTCTCCCGTCACAACAGCAAGAGCAGCATCTTTAGTTTTAAGGGCCGTGGTAAGGACATGGGCTCGGAGACTGAGTTTGCTGACGACGAGCACAGTACGGTGGAGGAGTGCGAGGAGCGCCGCGGCTCCCTCTTCAGCCCGTACCGGCGGAACAGCTACACCGGCTTCCACGGGAAGAGGAACAGCACGGTGGATTGCAATGGAGTAGTGTCACTCATTGGCCCCGGGCCTGGTGGACGCCTTCTGCCAGAGGTGAAAATAGATAAGGCAGCTTCTGACGACAGTGTAAGGAAGTCAATGAGTAGACCTATCTAGGCATGGCCCCTTCCCCCCCTCTCTCGTTCGTTACGTTTCTTTCTGGCTCTCTTTTTTCAACTCTGTCATCTTTGCAAGTCCGTATGTATCTCTTGGCTAAGCGCTCGCGCCTTCCCTCCCCCAGCCCCTGCAGTGTATGCTGCCCTCAGACAGGAGGCAAAGGATGGAGAAATTTATTATAATGGCAGTGATTATATTACATACCATGCCCTGCTTTTACTGTAAGTGTTAGTGAAACTGGGTCTATCAGTGACTTCCAGTCAGTTTTGTTGTTTGAAATGAATGTTTTTGAACATTTAATGATCAGACTGAATCAGACATGAAGCTAGAAGTCAACTGCTTCACCACCCACTTTGACACTTTGATCAAAACCTGGTAAATGCACATTTTTGCACACACAATGGCATAAAGTTTCCATTGAGCACACAATGTTGGTTATCAGAAACGACATAACAATGTGTTAACATGCTTCAGTGTGTTGATGTGTTCCTCCAGGCATCCAGGTCCTCTGCTGTGTGTGGGTAGATCTACAGTAAGAGGCGGAGGACATTGGGGACCAGCACTATAGAGTCAAATACATTTTTATCTGCTTCCCTAATTCCGTTATACTATTTCAGTCCAGATAGAAAAGTAACACATACACACCATCCTCTTAGGCCATCATAGAAAACTTTAAGAAACAAAGGAGGGCTGCTGTCCTTGTCTGTCTTTACCTTGTTCTGTTTTCCAAACTCTCCCTGGTCAACAGTAGTAAATTAGTTTCTACTTAGTTAGCATGGTAGAATTAAGATTTTAATTAGAAAAAGCATGACATAGATGCGTAGACAAACAGCAATGTTATATGTAATTTTCCTCTCCTTTGACTTGGAGCATGCTCGTGCATGACATCTGGATGGATCTGAACTTCCTGCATTCATATGATCTCCTGACTTGATGGTTGCAATATAAGTTGTATGTTTTCAAAGTAAGGTTTATTCACATCTGTTTGCAAGTGAAATAGAAAAGGCCAGAATTGGGAGATGCTTTTGGGAAAAAATAACATAGTGATTATATTGCAATGGCAGCAAAGCCTTCATTTTTGCATGACTGGAAATGCATTCATGCAGAAGCAGTTATCCTTGCACAATATCTCACATTTATTATCTAAGTGCGATGAGCTATTACACTTAAATACAATCAGGTCAAATAGCCCACTGCACCCACATTGGCTGAGACCTGCATGGATTTACAGCACATCATTTAACAAATTAGCATTGAGACACAAAAGAGTGAAACATCCTCAACGAAATGGAAACAAAAATCAAATATTTTAACTTCTTTATCCTATCAGTGCTGTTGTGCACTTCCCTCCGCCGGCCACCGGTGGTGATGTGGGATGGGGTTCATGTCCTCTCCATGGGTGCTTGATTCTTCCTCTCCTCCTGACAGCCAACAACTGAGGTTGAGGTGAAGAAGAAGCTGTCGGGCTCCCTGATGGTGTCTGTGGACCAGCTCAATACCTCCTTTGGGCGGAAAGAGCGGGCCAACAGTGTCATGAGCGCCATTACCAACACACTAGCGGAGGGTACTGCCACTTTAACCCAGCTATTTAACCTGCTCTTTCTCATTGTTCTTTCACTAGGGCTGCACTCATTTGTTTGACTTCTTTGACATGAATTTCCTGCTTATCTGCTTTGCAAATCAAACAGTACCAGATACATACAATGCATACAATTTTTTATATCATATTATACCATTGCATGCATGCAGTATTACTCTGGCATGTCATTATTTTTGGTTTTGATATATGATCTGCGCTATGTCTTCAGAACTGGAGGAGTCTCAGCGCAAGTGTCCCCCATGCTGGTATAAGTTTTCTAACACATACCTGATCTGGGAATGCAGCCCTTTATGGATTAGGATCAAGGAGATTGTAAACCTGATAGTGATGGATCCCTTTGTGGACTTGGCCATTACTATCTGTATTGTCCTCAACACCCTCTTCATGGCCATGGAGCACTACCCCATGACGACTGACTTTGAGGACATGCTGTCTGTAGGCAATCTGGTGAGTGGCAGTTTTTATGCTCCTGTTTTTTTTTATTTATTTTATCTCGTTCACTGAAAAAATGTGTTCAGCTTCTGCTCAGCAGCCCATAGAGAGGTGCTATTTTTAAACCATAATTGGCAGCAACTTTCATTATCTACTCAGAGTTGAAGAGAGTAAGAGGGAGGAGGGAAAAAATGATCTCAAACAACCTGCAGTTTTTCTGGATAGATGTTGCATTCACACACATGCGCACACTGGTTCCTTGTCCTTTTCTTTGATCCTTTTGTCCTTATCTTGATGCAAAGATTTGGTGCTTTCTGCAGTGGAATCAGCCTTATCTTTCTGCAGGTTTGCTCACTGGTGGGAGGCCTGCATTAATTTTTCATGGAGCCTGATTGATTGATTAGAGGCACTAAAATGGGGCATGAATCATGGCTCAAATAAATTCACTATTGATTCTTTTTTTTAATATGTAAACATGAGCATGGGCACCATGATGTTTGTTTACATACAGTACATTACTTCAGCCCAACAGACTTAAAAAAAAAGTACAAAACGACTCCAGCAAATTGTCCCATTTTCACACACACACACACACACACACACACACACGAAAACAACATTCAGTTGTTTTGTTGTCTTGTTCAATAATGTGTTCAAATATACATTTTCAGTAAAAAAATGAAATTATTTTTTTTTTTGAATAATTGGCCCAAAATTGTGTTTTAAGTTCTGGATTACCCTGATACAATATGTGTCTTTTTTATTTTGTATCTGAAAATCATGGTTTTGATTGTGGTGGCACTGAGCAGGTGCTGGATGCTTTTTTTTGGTGCAGATACTAAGCAGACCTGAGCTTCATCAAAAACGTCTAGAGTTGTAACTTATTCTAGAAATTTATTTGATATACCTTCACATATAAAAAAAAAAGATAAATAAAATATACCCTGGTTATGTTTGGTTGTTAACGTAGTCAAAGGCTGCTGTGATCTATAAACTCCACAGACAGCTTTTTAAATTACCAACCAATCAGAGTCCATAGCTGGAGGGATAAATAATTTCAGGTAGAGATACAAAAGTAGTGTTTTGTCTTCAGTAATAGAAAGGTCATTAAAGTAACACAAGCAATTAACAAACATTTATTCTCAACAAAAACTGCTAACACAGTAAAAGTGCAAAATCTTGCTGTTTTTATAAAAAATATGCTGTTTTGAAAGTTAATATGAAAACAGTTGGTTACGTACTGTAACCCCAGATTCTTTGAATATAGGCGTAGCCCTTTAAGGCTGTAGCTTAGTGGGTTTTATCCCGTTATGCGAAGCATTACACTGAGAAATTGAGTCCACGCCCACCTGCTGTGTGGGCCCCACCCAGTCCGTATAAATTACGTTAAGAGTGGGTAATCGGCTCCCAAATAGCTTTTTCTTCAGCCATTTAGGAGCCAGTGAGGCCCGACGCTTAAAGGGCTACGCCTATATTCATAGAATCTGGGGTTACAGTACGTAACCAACGTTCTATTTCATATAGGCTTCGCCTTTTAAGGCTGTCGCTTAGTGGGTTAAGGGCGAAGCAGATGTGGTCCTCGCCTCACTGGGTCCATTCGAACACCGTATGAAGCGGAAGCTTGCCCAAAAATGTCTTGTCATTCAGCTCTCCATGTACGTAATTACGCGTTGCGTAATTATGTGTACCATGCACAGATGCATGCTGTGTAATTACGGAAAAGTTTCAACGGAGTGGAGAAAAACTGAAAAGGAACTATGAACCAACCGGTTCACGGCTGAACAGTATGAACAGATTAATAATAACAAGAGAGCTGATTATTAATCAAATGAACGATTGGTAACGATAGTCATGAACTGATCAATGACAATAGAACCAAAATAACAGTCACAACTTGTGACTGATAACAACATCTCACACTGTAATGCATGTAGACAGATGTGAGTTAAACGGGGTTCCATGAAACAACAATATTCATTCTGTTAAGACACTAAATACAGAATGTGCCTCTACATCTTGCGGGAGACCCATCCTCTCTAAGCGGGTCCGCTCAGCGGCCAGACCCACATGTGCTGGCGTATTTCTGGGTAACTCCTGATCGCTCCTCCTACCTGGAGGAGAGCATCCTCTCTCCACGACAGTTTCCACGGGCGCCCCGATAACAGGCGTCGTAGAACCAGAACCATGGTGCGTTCACGCGCTCGGGAGCCACCAGGAGAGCTGTCAATCCCTCCTCCTGAACTCGGTTAAAAAAAACGTAATATCAGAGGCAGTGGGGTAACATGTAAAATCGTTTGGGCCATGGGTATGAGCGAACACGTCCACCCCCCAGCGGTGGTTCGCCTTGTGGACTCAGTGAAGTCCATAGTTGACACTGAGCGTTCCCTCGTGTCGCAAACAGGTCCACGGCTGCTTTGCCAAATTCCTGCCATGTCTGGGCCATCAGACCGAGGTGGAGGGTCTACTCCCCGTGACGCAGACCGCCCCTGGACATCACATCTGTCTCTTGTACAGAACACCGGGGATGTACATTGCTCTGGTGGAGAGCAGATTTTGGTGTGCCCAACACAGTATTTTCCTCGCAATGTGTAACATTTGGGCTGCGTTGATTCTGCAGCACAGGAACAAAGTGTTAAATCACATTCAGAACCGTGCAACCCTCCAGAACGTTTATATGAGCTGTTGTGAGAAAGCCACAGCGCCCCTACAGCACAAGATAGGCATGTCACCCCTCAACCTGACACCGGTGCGTCTGTGAAGACTGACACGTGTGACGTAGGTCTGATGACGGGGGCTCCCTCCGACAAAAAGACAGGGTTTTTTCCAGTGTCGGAGGTCTGCTCTCACGGAGGAAGGAACAGTGATCGCCTGCCTCTTTCTTGCCTCACCAGATCCATGCGTTGACAACATCGTGTTTAACAGCTTTATGATGAAAAATATCTGTTATTACTCTGCCCGGTTTTACGTGGCGGAGCTGGGCTCTTAGAGAGTAGATTCTCGTCTGTGATAAACGAATAAACAAGTTTAGCCCCACTCCCAGATAACAATCGTCTGGGCCGGGAGGATCTAACTTTTCAAAATTTTATGGTGAAGCCCAGAATTGGCAGGTGTGACGTCAACATCTGAGCCTGAGCTGACATGTGAAGCGGTCTGCCTACGATCGCCTTGTTGAAAAGCTGACAGGTCCACATCGGTCTCGTTCCTCCGGTCCGTTTGGAACCAGGAAGTAACGCGAGTAACAACCTGTGTTTCCCTCTCCGCCGGGAAAACCCCTGGACTTAGGGGTGAGATCTGGTCTGGTGATGACAGGACCGTCTCTAAAAACTCCTCCTAGCGGAGGGGGTCGGGCTGCAAATTGCAACACGTAACCCCTGCTATCAGCTTTGGCCATCTATGCCTGGCGAGAAAGCTCGCAGCCACTCCGCGTAACATCCGTGGGGTGGGCGCGCGTTTAGATGGTGCGTCATGTTTTAACAGATGTCAGTCAGTCCACCGCCTCAACCGCTGTCATGAGCCATGGGAGTGTGTTCTGCGTGAACCACAGGCGAAGCTCGGCTCTGAGCACGTCTGTGTGCTGCGCTTGACTGCGGGTCCGCATCATGTTTATGTGGAACGCTGTGCGTTGAGGAGAGGCGTGTGAAAACTATTGACGCCGCGGGAGCGCGCGTTTGACACCACTGCGGTGAGACGCGTGTCGCTTCTGCCAAGAGCAAGGTACGTTACTGGGCTCGTACAGCGATCTCACGTTATGTTGACGTGAGCGCTGAAAACTGCGTGCACGCCTTCATAACGCAGCGCCATATGGGTGAATGCTGCTCGCGCCGCGGGAGCGCGCATTGGCACCGCTTCGTGAGGGGTGTGTAGCTTAGACTGAAAAATCGAGTTATTCCACTGAAACTCGTTGTGCGGGCCACATTCACTTATGACTGTTGTGTCATGCGGGCGTCTCGCCTGTTGGAGCGGCGGTGATTGAAACAGCCTTAAAAGACCACCGGCTCATTCGTGTGAGGGAGGTGTGACGGAGCCACTGTCAGGCCATCCAAACTGACAGACTGGCTAAAAAGACACTTCATCATAAAATGATGTTTTATTCCCACATTGTGTCATCTTACACACATCCAGCCAACCGACAAACAGTCATCTCCCCTTGAGCTCTGTGGTTTGTTGTCCTAGGGCACCCCCTGTTGGAGATCTCCGGGAAAAATTGAACTTCCGGATGCCGGGAATGTCTGGCGGGCGGGGCTGGCGTAGCAGAGCTGGGAGGCGTTGTGCAGCCGTGGAACATCTTGAAAGTGATCTCTCGTTTATGAGGGCCCCCCAACAAAAAGCTTTCTGCAGCTCCTCCGAGAGGGAGGTGGAGTGACGAGCCAGGAGAACCTCTGGAAACCTCGTCCTCCGGCTGCGGTGCGAGGCCGGCAGACAGCAAAAGAGGCGCACTGTTTGAGGATGACGTTAGCTGCCCTGCAGAGTGAGCGTACGTCTCCTCCCACCTCTGAACGTGTACGCTAACAGCGTAACGTGTTGTTCGCTGCGGCCGCCTGGAAACGCACGCTGGTGAGCTAGGTTGGAGAGTGGCGTCACCGTCTGGTTACCTAACCAGAGGCGCGGGACGCTGGTCCAACCCGGACATCTTTGGCTCCCGGGGGCACTGAGGGAATTTCCGCTCGGTGAACCCCTCCACTCTGGTGATGGGCGCGGATGTGGGAACCAGCGCCCTATTCTACCAGGACCGGCTGCAGCCTCGTCCCAGAAGGACGTCACCGCTGGGAAAGCGAGGCCAGATGGGAATCATGGCGACGAGCTGGAGTGAAGCCCAAAAAACCTTCCCGTTGGATCATCCGAAAACTGGCGGGGGAGGCACGAGACGTAAAAATAAAAAAGGTCCCGTCATGTCAGCCGCCTCCTGGGTAAGCCGGGCAACTCCAGAGGGCGCCAACGGCTGGAAGCGGTGTGGTCGCCAATGCGAAACAAGGTGAGGGGGGCTGAGCGAATGCCAACACTACGCTCTCCAGGAGAGAATGAGCAGCGGGGGCTGCTGCTGATGTTGCCTGTCCCGGAGGAACCATCCGATTCGCTCCAAGGGTCGGCGATAAGAGGAAAATTACAAGATGGCATTGTCCAGTGTGTAGCAACCTGTCACTGAGAAATACTCCTCGGCACTTACCTTGAAACAAGACTGCTCATCTGCTTCTCCTCGGGGAGGAGGACTCACCGGGACGACAGAGAATTGGCGTAATGGGCCAGGCAGTCTTAACAAAGGTTGGTCAGCTAGACAACTTTCCTTCTTCGTTCTTCTGACAGTGCTATTAGCTCGCTGAAGAAAAATGGGAGCCGATTACCTGCTCTTAACGTAATTTATACGGACCGGGTGGGGCCCACACAGCAGGTGGGCGTGGACTAAATTTTTCAGTGTTATGCTTCGCATAACGGGATAAAACCCACTCAGCGACAGCCTTAAAGGGTGAAGCCTATATGAATTAGAACAAAAGACTGGAAAAGCTGTAAAGTACAAAAAATTAACAGAGAAACACAGAAGTGCAGCTATAAAGTAGTTTAGTAAGCTTTTTGCCAGCACAAGTATTGCACTGTTTTCAGTAAACAATAAAAAAAATGCCCACATAGGAGAAAAAACAAGTCAATATTTATGGGTATGATTTCTGTAGCCCTGCATTAAGAAAATACAGTAGGAATCAATTTGTATGCCATCTTTATGCTTCATGTTCATACTCTTTTCAACTCTGACTTTTGCTGGTACATAATCATTTGTTCAAATCGTCTTTCAATCCTGCCTGGCAGGTATTCACAGGGATCTTTGCAGGAGAGATGCTTTTAAAGCTTGTGGCCATGGATCCTTACTACTACTTCCAGGAGGCGTGGAACTGCTTTGATGGATTTATTGTAACACTGAGTTTAGTGGAGCTGGCTCTGGCTGATGTTGAGGGTCTCTCTGTGCTGCGGTCATTCCGACTGGTAAACACTCGTTTTTCATTTCCTCACTGATCAAGAAAATTAATTATTAGGAAAACTAGTAACCAATTCACAATCCTCTTCCTCTCTCTACCTGTCTAACCTCAGCTGAGAGTGTTTAAACTGGCAAAGTCTTGGCCCACCCTCAACATGCTGATTAAGATCATTGGTAACTCAGTGGGAGCATTGGGAAACCTGACTCTGGTGCTGGCCATCATCGTCTTCATCTTTGCTGTTGTGGGCATGCAGCTGTTTGGAAAGAGCTACAAAGACTGTGTGTGTAAGATCGCTGAAAACTGTGAGCTGCCCCGCTGGCACATGAACGACTTCTTCCACTCTTTCCTGATCGTCTTTCGGGTGTTGTGTGGCGAGTGGATTGAGACCATGTGGGACTGCATGGAGGTGGCAGGCCAGGCAATGTGTCTCGTCGTCTTCATGATGGTCATGGTCATAGGTAACCTTGTGGTGAGTGTTCAAACTGATCAGTTAAAGATTTGAAATGATTGACACTTTTTCACTGACTTGATATCGATTCGTGTTTCAAGGTCTTGAACTTGTTCCTTGCCTTGCTGCTGAGCTCGTTCAGTGCGGACAACTTGGCTGCGACGGATGACGACGGCGAGCCCAACAATCTGCAGATTTCCGTCATGCGCATCAAGAAAGGCATTGCTTGGATAAAATCGAAGATGCGAAGGTTGATGGCGAGTCTACTGAGAAAACCACCAATGGAGGACGAGCAGAAGCCTCTGGATGACATGTATGACAAGAAGGTGAACTACATTGGAAATCACACAGGAGTGGACATCAACCGTGACCTGGACTATGCCAAGAATGGCAATGGCACCACCAGCGGTATTGGCAGCAGCGTGGGCAAGTATATGATTGACGAGGACCACATGTCGTTCATCCACAACCCAAATCTGACTGTTTGTGTGCCCATCGCTGTGGGAGAGTCCGACTTTGAGAACCTCAACACAGAGGACTTCAGCAGTGAGTCAGACATTGAGAACAGCAAAGAGGTTAGTTGTTACAATATTCAAAACCACAAAAAAGGTTGAATCATGTCATCTGGACTTCGTTTTTTTTGTTAAAAAGAAACGTTTCGCCCCTCATCCAAGAGGCTTCGTCAGTCTGAGGCCTAGCCATCTGGTATTACCCAGAAGCCACCCTGACTCTTGTGTTTCAAGCCTGCCTCAGATACCCCTGAAGTCTGGCCTTTTCACTAATGGTTTCAAAAACACAAAGTTTGTTTTCTCAGTCATCCAGGTATATAACAACAAAAAAGGTTGAATCATGTCATCTGGACTTCGTTTTTTTTGTTAA